TCACCACCTTCGTCATCATCATCATCATCATCATCATCATCATCATCATCTTGATCATGAACATCGTCATCATCATCTTCATCATCATCATCATCATCATCTTCATCATCACCATCATCATCGTCACCGTCATCATCACAATCGTCATCATCACGATCGTCATCATCATCATCGTTGTCGTCACCATCATCATCGTCACCGTTATCATCATCATCATCAACGTCATCATCATCGACATCACTGTCATCATCAGCAGCACCGGCGGGTGGCTGTGCGCGGTCACCTCCTATCGTCATCCACAGCGCCTGCCATCACGATTCCCCGCCCCCGTCCTTCTCGTCGTCTTCATCATCGATCTCCGCAGGTCCGGGGCCTAACCAATCTAGTCGTCTGGCGAGCTCAGGAGACGTCAACGTGGCGTCGTTGTGGAATGACACCCCACACGAAACCCACTCGGGGATGTACACCGGAGGGTCGACCAACGTCATAGGGGGCTTCCCCATTTTCTCCGTTACTACATTGACACACTGCAGAACATGGCAGCGCGCGTCGAACGACGCATGCAGCGACGCAATGAGCGTCGGTTTCGCAATGAGCTCCACGAGATGGGACGCCTCATAATGCGAACGGAGATTATCTCCCGCCATCCTCATGATCCACATGGCAGCAGACAACAAAAGGCGCATGCAGTCTGCCACGTTCCTCAGCCTCTCATACGATATCCGCCCGCCGTCTACCCCCTCCCCCATGTCAACAACATTCGTGAAAGCTCCCACCAGACGCTGCGTTGTGGACTCCTGATACGACGCCATTTCGTCATCCTCGTGCCTGTCGTGTATGACGCCACCTACGTACCAGATGGGGAGMTTCATATGAAGCTCCAAAGTGTTATGGACGACCGCCGGACTCACACCTACCCGCCAGTCCTCTCCACACCAGATGGCGCGGGCGAGGTCTGTGGCGATGTGGTTCAGCACATAGCCGTAGGAGCAATGGTACCCGCGGGCGCGATTGGGTGACTTGAAGATCCACCCATGGATGATGCGCAACGCTATGGTCTGCACCCTCGAAGCCCTCTCCTTCGCGGCCCCCAACTCCGATATGTCTTCTAGCTTCTGCTGAAGGATCGTGGCGTTCGGGAGGACAATGCTTTTTCTGATCTCTGACGGTTTCACACCCTTCGCGATGGAAATGAGGTGCAGGCGAGTCTCCTGGATGATCTTGAACATCCCATGCCCCTCCGTCTCGTTCCAGAAACGCAGATCGTCCACCCACAGCTTCGCTTTCGCCTCTAGAGCCGCCAGGTTTCCGGATCGCCTCTGCCTGTTAATGAGGGGATCGTTGTCWTCAGCATTATCACGACCGTCGCCACCGCCCCCCCCCGCGCCGGTCGCCGATGTACCAACAACGGCCCCCACCGCTGCGGCTTCCTTTGCGGGAATGTGCGTCGCAAGCTGTCCCCTGACTGCCGCATTCATCCTCGCCCCTTCATCCCTTCTCGCCTGTCCCGCCGTGGGCGTCGCTGGGTTTGAAGGCGCCTGCATTGGCGGGTGTTTACCGATGTCCTGAGCCGCTTGGACGTCCTTCGACGGCACGGCGCCGCGCATGCCAGGGGTCGTCGGCTGGCCACGCTCCTCCCTGGCAGCAACACCGCCTCCCACGTCGCCGCCCGCCTCACCCTTGCCACGCGCAACCCCGTGACCCCTTCGCGCGTTCGACAGTTCACGCAAGGTCCGTTTCCTCTCATGAAACGTGTCGACGCCTTCCTCTCCGCTCACCATTCGCGCGTTCGACAGTTCACGCAAGGTCCGTTTCCTCCCATGAAACGTGTCCGCCTCCGATTTGAAATCGTCGTCCTGTCCGCTGCTGGCTTCGGTAACCCACTCTTCCTGCGCGGAGCTCCCAATCACCAGAGCACCGCCGCTTGATGCCTTGGGCTTCTTCGCCTGATGCCTCCCCCGCTTCACGACGCCGGCAGCTTCCATTTTCTGGGAATTCCTCCCCCTTTTCTTCTTGCCAGAGTTGCGAGTATTCGTCATCACTGAGAAGACAGACAGCGATGATGGCGATGACGAAGAGACGACAACCACACGGCTGCCACAACGATGCTCGACCAAACGGGGAGAAAGATGAGCGGTCGAGAAGAAGGAAGGGCGAGAACGATGGCAGCAAGGCAAAGCCTGCGCAGGTGGAGTCCAAGCGTGAATACGACGTCTGGCGAAAATGGCGGTGGCGAGAAAAACACTGCGCGAAGTCGAGTCGACACGTAAAGATGACGTCTGGTGAAAACGGCGGTGGCGAGAAAAACAATGCGCGAAGAGAAGTCGACACGTAAAGATGACGTCTTGCAAGAGAGATGGCGGCGAGACACACAATGCGCGAACAGGAGTCCCACCGTGAAGATGACGTTGGGACTGCGCGATGGCGGCGACACAGACAGTGCGCGACGAAGAGTCCGAACGCGAAGATGTCGTCTGGCCACCGCCTGCGTGAACAGGTCATATCGTAGTCGTGGCAAATGTTCCTCATGCGCCGGCGACACTGCACAGGTTGGCTACAGGGTGAAGGGAATGGCAGAGGGACCATTCCATTTGCAACCCCTTTTCCGACACACGGACGGTGGGTATGCAACATTCCGCCAATCAGACCCCCCCAAAAAACGAACACCCCCGCCTCCAAATGACGAAACAACGGCCAAAAAAGTCCGCCACACCCCCCACTGGCCGTGTCATAGGAGTCTGATACGCACGCCC